CTGAACTCAACAGACTGGGACCAGGGGGCGACCGTCTTTCTGAGAGATATCCAAGACCTCAACAAACACATCCTGGAGGTCTGCGCCCTCAAGATAGTGGACCAGCTTGCAGCCGGTTGCCTGGACACAGACGCCCAGAACCTTCTCAGCAGCCTCAAGGAGCGTATCGCTGACATGCAGCCTGGAGTCCTCAAGGCCCACCACCTGGCATGGAGCCGAGACCTGGTGGACCCCCCAAACAAGGCTCATGGACGGTACCCAAAGGAGCTGGGGGAGTAGTTTGTGGCCAGGGTTAACCATCAGGACCTCGAGTGCCTCCAGAAACAAGGCAGGCAGGCAGGAGTTGGCTTGGCTCTATCAGGAGATCTGCCACCACCTGGGGCTCAGTGCCGAGGCCCCCCAGACCTGTGGGCACCAGGAGCTCCTAACCCAGCTGGGGCAGCGGCTCCAGTAGAGCGACAGCCACCCCCACCCACCCCTGGTGCTTTTTGGACCCCCGGGCATCAGAAAGACTGCTCTGATGTGCAAGCTGGCTGAGCAAATGCCAGGGCTGCTTGGCCACAAGACAGTGACCGTTCTACGGTTTCTGGGGATGTCACAGATGAGCTCCGATGCCCGAGGCCTGCTCCAGAGCATCTACTTCCAGGTGTGCCTGGCCTACGGGCTACCCCTGCCCCCTGCCCAGATCTTGGAGGCCCATACCAGGGTGGTACAGTTTTTCCACACCCTCCTCCACACCGTCTCCTGCCGAAACTTTGAGTCCCTTGTGATCCTGCTGGATTCGGTGGATGAGGTAGCCTCTGTCCACCATGCTCGGAGGGTCCCCTGGCTGCCTCCCAAGTGCCCCCCAAGGGTCCACCTCATCCTCTCGGTCTGCTCAGGACAGTGGGGGGGGTTTAGACACTATGCGGCAGGTGCTCACGGACCCAGGTGCTTCCTGGGAGGTGAAACTCCTCTCTGGAAACCAAGGGCAAAAGACGGTTCAGCTCCTGCTGGCCACCTCGAGGAGGGTGCTGAGCCTGATTCAGAGGGACCTGCTCTGGGCCAGCCTCCCGGAGTGTGGGCACCCGGGGTGGCTGAGGCTGGCCTACGAGGAGGCCCGGAAATGGGCCTCCTTCACTGTGCCGGCCCCTCTGGCCTCCACTGCTAAAGAAGAGATGCACCAGCTGTGTGCCCGCCTGGAGCAGACACATGGGCAGCTGCTGGTGGCCTGAGTGCTAGGCTATACATTGTGTCTTCCCGGTGAGTCTCTGTTGTTTTCACTCTTTTCTGAATTGAGATAGAACACAGGCATTCTTCTCCAAGGGCAGCCATAACAAAATCACAAACTGGGTGGCTTAGAACAATGGAAATCTATTCTCTCGTGGTTCTGGAGACCAGAGTCTGAAATCAAGGTGTCAGCTGAACCACACTGCCTCCGGAGCCCCTAAAGGAAAATCTGTTCTAGGCCTTTTTCTTAGTTTCTGGTGTTGCTGGCAACCCTCAACATTCCTTGGCTTGTAGACGCATCACTCCAATCTCCACCTCTGACCACATTGTGGTTTTCTCCCTGTGTGTCTCTCTGTCTGAATTTCCCTCCTCTTGGAAAGACATCACTCATTGGATTAGGGCCCACTTGCATCCAGTATTGTTACCAACTAAGGTTCTTGGCCTTCTTTTTTTTTTTTTTTTTTTCGG